ATATCCAAGGTTTTGCCGGGCCTCTATGTTAGCGGTGTTTGTGCTTTGAAAGCGGAGATTGTCAAGGAACACGGCATTACGATGATCGTCAATGCTACTGAGGAGGTACAGCAACACTCTTCGACTCTGACAGTGGCAGTGGAACTCTTAAGCCGAAATTACCTAAGTATTCACTCAAAGTCATTAAATTCTAGTAGCACTGCTTAATATGGCAGTGCGACAACTTCTATCAAAATCAAAACCACTAGCTGCTACAGAAATTTAAAATAATGAGTTTCTGCATGGCATGCAAATTTAGTTGGGCACCGAAGAAAGTTCCTGTGAATCTGGTTCCGTTTTTCTGGGAAGGTGAATCAGCTTTGGAAAGTGTCATGAACATGAAAATTTATATAGAGGTGTGAATTGAATGGAGAAATCAAAGGGAGGGAAATGAGAATGATGAGGGTAAAGGAAGAAAGGGGGAAAAATGACATTTTTGAAAAAAAAAAATGAGATTTTTCTTTAAATTTAGCAATAAACAACAAAATTTGTTGCTTCTTAACAAATCTGAGGTTGGACGAATTTAATGTTGAGCTGTGGACATTACACGATTCTCAAGCAGCCCACTGCCAGTTTATAATGAGAGGGGGCAACTTTCATGTTTATAAATTAATGTTGTGGTAGTTCATCTGACCTGTTGCAGGTGCCGAATTCGGCTTCACTGGGTAACATCCCGAGACTGAAACTGTTCCTGAAGGACGACTCGAAGGCTTGGGTTCTTTCCTATCTTGATCACGTATGCCATAAGGTAGGCGTCGTCGCCTTTTGACTTATATTCAGTGATTCTTAAAAAATTATTTCTTTTGGATTTTCTGATTGCGCAAACTTGCTGGAAGGCTTCAAACGGCTGCCACACATTTTTGTTACGAGCGAGTATCCGAAAATTTTCACACAAAAACAAATTTGTATCATGCTTGAAAAACGCTGGTAATGCAGCAAATGGCGACGCATACTAGGTTAACCGGTGCGGCCATGCGTTTTGTACGGTTCTTCTTAGCGCCTTACGCTGTTAAGAATATTCACTGCTTTCCAGTCTGGTACACGTAAAAATAGCCCAAATGGTTTCCGAGCTGTTGAATTTTCCACCCGTAATTTTACATGCCGGATATGAAATCTAGGCGCTTACTGGAGCTTAATTTGAATTTGTAAGGTCGCGGATTAACAGAAAACATCCCTAATAGTTTTAGCTTTGTCGCCGAGTCAAAAATTTTCCACATAAAACTTTACATGTCCGTATCTGAAACAAAAACGGACAGAAAACTGAATTTGATTTCGGGACTGTGCATCAGGCAACATGAATGAGTTGTGAATTGAGAGGAAGCTTCAGCTTTTTCATCTTACTGGTTCCGGAGGTAGAAAATTCCGCGCCAAAATTCCCACATGTTTATGTTTGAGACCTAGGCGTACATAGGAGTAGGATTTAAATTCTTGTGGTCGTGTATGGCTGTGGAATATCTTCCTGAAATTTCGGCCTCTTGGTCTTGTTTTTGATTAGAAAATTCCGGATAAAGCGCACTTGGGATATAAGTATGCACGCATGCTTAGATACATGTGCACATACACATATATATGTATATACATATGTGTACACAGTATAGGTCTCGATATTGTGTCTTTTGTGCGACTGTTTAAGCAAAAAACGCATGAAAGTCAGTGGATTATTTTTTCCAAAAGCTTTCCAGGTTGATCTTCTTTGGTAATGAAAAATGTCAGAACTTATTCCTGCTTCGTGATTATGAAATATTCCGCCGCCCTAATCGAAAAATTTGTTTAAGATCCTGAAGGAAATGGCGAAAGGTGGAAGAGTACTCATACATTCAGTGCAGGGCGTGTCACGCTGCGCAGCAGTTTGCCTCGCCTTCCTTACCAAATACAAATTCAAGACACTGCGTGACGCATATGAGTATCTCGCTTCCGTGCGACCAAGCGTGCAACCGCGTATCAGCCTTTGGCGACAGCTCATCTCGTATGAACAGGTCTTTAGTAATTCGTGGATAAAAAGTACGGGAAGCTCATAACTGAATGCTTGTGGATAAATTCCAGGGATCAGAAAGCAGCAAATCATCACTGTATTTTGAAAAATTCCAAATTTATTGTTTCTTAAGTTGTAAAAATAAAAACCTAGCTACATTCACCTTCCAGGATATAAAACAAACGCTGGGCTCAGTGGAGATTGTTCGCGATAGCGAAGATCCAACGTTGCTGGTGCCGGATGTATACCGAAGGGTAACTTCAAAGCATCAAAGTTTGGACCATTCTGAAAACAATGCAACGACGAGTTCGCCGAGTACTGAGCCGCACGAACAGGATCCAGGAAAGCAATCCGAGAATAACACAGAAGCGAAACTGACTGCAGCAGTGGTGTCCGGACAGGCTGCTGTAGCGGTCGCCGCCACTGCTGCAACAGTTACCGATCTGGCTGTGAAAACAGCTCAAGGAGTAGTTGCGAATGGTGCCTGGAGTCAGAAATCACACATGCCGACAAGGAAGAATTCACTGAGCAGGAAGTTCTCACCGGTTCTCGAACCGGTCCTTGAAGTCGTCGAAGCGGCTGCGTGAATGATAGGGACTGCTGTTGCTATTGCTGCTGCTTCTGAACAGGGTTCCGTTGCTCACGTCATGTTAATCAAGGCCTTGCTGTAATAGTTTAGCTGTGATTACTATGTTTTCCTGTTTCCAGTTGAATTCCCGACACCTCGGTCAGTTTCCCGCCATTCTAGAAGTTTTTCTAATTTTCCTACCCAAAAGTTCAGTCATAAACATCTACCAACACAGTTTTTGTCTAGTCTCTGCTAACGAAGAAATCAAAGGACAAGCTTTCTAACTGTTTTAGAGTTTTGTTGATTTTTAAATGGGGCGTAGCTGCTGAAAAAGACGTTAAATCAGTACTTATGAGCCAGCAGCTGAATTCTGATCAAACAGGGCAGTTGGACTGATTAAAATCTTTCTAAGATGGTGGATTCTCCGACTTTTTCCTTGCTCCTGTTATCAGTATTTTTATGTGCAGAAGTTGATGTTGCTGTTCATAATTATACCTTATTACGATTAACTTATTCTACTTCACTTTTACTTCGGTTGTTTTTTATTCTGCTCCAGTAATTTATTTTTGCCTGTTAAGCGGTTCTATGCTGCTGTTGCAGGTTTCTTTTCGTCCTTTTCTTTCCTTTCCCACCTCCGTGGCAGTGTGATTTTCGAATCCAATTTTGTCAGATTTCTTCAAAAGCAGTAGCAGCTGCTATTGTCAATAAAGTACATTCGGCATCCCCACTGCAAACGCTGATTTCACGTGAACCAAATCAATTTTGCCCTCAAATGCACCTTTTCTTTGCTCGAATTCTCCATTTTTTTATTACTCTGCTTGTATGTGTAATGAACATTCTGAAAGCGCTTGCCGCATCTTCCAGGAACTGTCATCGTATTTACAAGAGTGTTAAAGAATTTCATCGTCCTTTTTTCATATTTTGGTTTCTTAATGAAACATCCCGTCTGGCCAGCCTTTAAAGTGTAGGATATGTGTAGAACAAAGCTTTATCTGTCCTCTTGTCTTGTTTTTCTCCGCTTCACTCTGGCTCTCGTTTCCTTTGTCTCCAGCTGCTGCCTTTTTTCCTTAAAAATTAGTCTACTTCAAACACAGCATGCTCTGCGCAAGTTACAATAGATTTTTACTACGAAGTTTTCTGGTCATAAGATAACCAACTTTTACAAAGAGTTTCCATCTCCTCCATCCGCCACCCTCCCCACCGCCTCTTCTTACCCCTGTCTAGAATTTTAGGTGCTAACGTGCTACTTCCCGTGTTTCTAGCAAACTAACGATGTTGGACTGAAATGTAAATTTCGTAATAATAAGCCTAATTGAAATGTAGCTTCATTGTGTGTGACAGATGTGGTGGTACTTACTCGTGCCCAATTATCATTTGAAGAACCTTTTCTGTGTCCTGAACATCGTAGTGATCATTTCCAATTCGCTAGAGCCCTCCAGGCCATAGCGAACTTATTGTGGCTTCCTTCCTGTTTCGAACTATCAGTTCACCGTCAGATGTCCAAAGACGGTATCTCAGTTTCGATTGTGGGTCAGTAGTAAGAATGTGTGTCACAGATTACTGCCTTGCTCACTGCAGTTTCCCGTATTTTTGTCAGTTCCGGAAATATCGGCAGATTTAGTTTTGCGTTAAATTATCCATTCATTCAGTTTCTCTGTCATGCTTCTTACCTTTGCTAGTATAAATTTGTGGTTTCTGACGTCTTGTGTCTTTGTCACTGCTTCCACTGTATTTCTATCTCTTTTCCAGGCCGCGTCCATTGTTGAGCAGTTGTAAATTTATCCGGCATGCCCTAGTAGATTTGAAAGTGTGATAAAAAGTTTTACTCTGAGTGCGAGGGAGTGAACAAGTTTGAGAATAACTTTCCTGTATTTTTGTGCGTTTTGTGATTATATAGTTGCAAAAAACGCATATTGTCGAGACTCTGTCTGTGTCTGCCCATGTGTATTCTGCCGGCCTTTTATCTGGGGGTTCAACTCGGGTATCAATAAAGCTAGGAAGCTGAAATTTCAGAATAATGTTTCTGCCAACGTTTGGATTTAGCACTTGCGCAAGATTAAGTCTCATATATGAGTGCGCAGAAGCTTTGGCGCCATAATTAACTTGGAACGCGTCAAACAGTAATGCAGTGGACACCAAACAGCAAGACTGCTCTAAACAGAGCTGCACAAGCGTCAGCTGGACAGGATTGCACGAAACGCATGATCGCACCAGTTAGCCAGGTGCGCGCCGATATTTATTACATCCGCGTTTACAGCGAATTCATCGCCGAATCTGAAAACCCCTTTTTGTTCCTATAAATCAGTTCAAAGAAAAAATGGAAATGAGCGGGCCCATGTGCAGGATTCCTAACACCACAAAAGAAGTAAGCAGTTCCTGACCAGAATCTGATATTACTCAGTGATGCGGTAGCGAATTCACTTACACCATTGGCTTACACAGAGATTGAACAATGTAGTGCACAGAATGAAGCAAGAGGACTGAATAAAAGCTACAGAACAACCCAGGCTGGAACGCACCAGACGAGCCGGTGCGATCATGCGTTTTTGCATCAAACTTTGAGGCATTCCATTAAATTTCTCTGCCTTTTCCCCACCCCCTCCATTCGCTGTTTCCGCCTCTCCCTCTTTCCCCGCCCCCGCCCTGGGTATCCACCTCCTCGAAGCGGTGATATAGTGCTGCATTATAGGGCACAATTACGAAGCGAAATTTCGTGAGTGCGGTGCCATAAGACACACGTGGTCAACAGGCCCCGCTCAGCGGTGTAACGCTGCTCAGTGGTGGCGTTGCTTGGGTGGGGGATGGGTGGCGTTGTGTTGTGGGTCGGCGTCGGGAGGGAGGTGTTTGGGAGGTGGCCGGTGTTGGGGACGCTCAGTGTTGGGTGGAACGGGGCGAGGAGGGTCGGCGTTCTTTCGGTTCTCGTTTGTGCTTGGCATTTGCAGATGTTGGGGGGC